TAACATATAGTAAAACCTTTTTATATGTTAAGGTCTTTTTATATGGTAAGGTCTTTTTATATAGTAAGGTCTTTTTATACAGTAAGGTCTTTTTATATAGTAAGGTCTTTTTATATAGTAAAACCTTTTTATATAGTAAGGTCTTTTTATATAGTAAGGTCTTTTTATATAGTAAGGTCTTTTTATATAGTAAGGTCTTTTTATACAGTAAGGTCTTTTTATATAGTAAGGTCTTTTTATATAGTAAAACCTTTTTATATAGTAAGGTCTTTTTATATAGTAAAACCTTTTTATATAGTTAGGTCTTTTTATATAGTAAGGTCTTTTTATATAGTAAGGTCTTTTTATATAGTAAGGTCTTTTTATACAGTAAGGTCTTTTTATATAGTAAGGTCTTTTTATATAGTAAAACCTTTTTATATAGTAAGGTCTTTTTATATAGTAAGGTCTTTTTATATAGTAAAGTCTTTTTATATAGTAAAACCTTTTTATATAGTAAAACCTTTTTATATAGTAAGGTCTTTTTATATAGTAAGGTCTTTTTATGTAGTAAGGTCTTTTTATATAGTAAGGTCTTTTTATATAGTAAAACCTTTTTATATAGCAAGGTCTTTTTATACAGTAAGGTCTTTTTATATACTAAGGTCTTTTTATATAGTAAAACCTTTTTATATAGTAAAACCTTTTTATATAGTAAAACCTTTTTATATAGTAAGGTCTTTTTATATAGTAAGGTCTTTTTATATAGTAAGGTCTTTTTATATAGTAAGGTCTTTTTATATAGTAAGGTCTTTTTATATAGTAAAACCTTTTTATATAGTAAGGTCTTTTTATATAGTAAAGTCTTTTTATATAGTAAAGTCTTTTTATATAGTAAAGTCTTTTTATATAATAATGTTTTTTTATACAATAAGGTCTTTTTATATAGTATATAGATTTCAGCCATATTTCATTAAGTAAAACAATTAAATTTTATATTTGGCACACATGTTTCTAATATTTAAACTTTTATTTGTATTCATTTCTATATCACCCCTTTTTTATGTCTCCTACTAACTCAACTAATAATATTTTTGATATAAGTAAATAAACTATTACTAATAATAGTGTTTTTAATAATAACAGAAGTAACAATTATTAAATAATTATTAGACCAAAAAATAAAATAATCGATATTAAATATTTATTAATAACTAATAATAATGATTGTCTTGATAAGAACATAATTAATTCAGTTTAATAAAAAATCACCTAAAATAGTAATTAAAGTCAATAAAATATATCAATAGTAAACAATAAAAATAATAATAATATTAGGCAAATA